TCTTCTTCTTCTCCTTCTCCACCTCCTTCTTCTTTTTCTTCTCCTCTTCCTGTTCCTCCGTCTACTCCTCTTTCTCCTTTTTATCCTAATTCTCCTCCTCCTCCTTTTTCTTCTCTTCCAGCCTCCTCCCTCGATGCCTCCCCTCTCAGCTGCGATGTTGCCTCCGTCCAATCTGCCGCCGGTTTACCCACCTCCGAGTCCTCCCACGGCTCGTTCGAGTGGCGTGCCTGGTCCGACTCCCACTGCAGATCATCCCCAATACCATCCACCGGCCTTTCTCGAACCTGCGCCTCTCCCTTCGCCGAATCCACTGCACCCGACGCTGGCGGGCACAAGAAGTAGAGAATTCGCCCGTCTTGCACCAGACCTCAGCCGGCAGAGCTGGCGATCCTGCTTTACTGACGAGGCGGTGAGTCTATTTGACACACTCTTCTTTATTGGGACACACAATTTAACCTCCTCCTTCAACAGTACACATTTCTGTTTTCACCCAATTTCCTTTTAGCCGATGAAGGACTCTCAGAGGAACTTTCCCACAATTATGTGAGTAGTGCCGAAGTTTCCATTCAAGTTCACAGAGTCCTACTTTCCCCAAAGTTGTTCTCCTCCAGGCGGAAGTGGGTCTTATCAACACCCTCAGCGGGGATCAAATGGTACTGTATGTGATGTCGTCACACTGGTCACTATTATCATCTGGTACGAGTGGCCTTGAGTCACAGGGCAGATGTGAATTTGGAGGAAGACCAGGCATTTTGCCATATCACCCTTAACGAATTATGATGCTAGATAAATATGATCTACTGGTCACCTCGACAGCCTACTTATAAACAACAAATAAGTAGTGTAGTCGATTTCTTTAGCAAATGCAACTTTGCTTTGTCGAAAATCCCACCACATAGGATCTACTTGTATTAACTACCAGTTATTCATCGCCTTAAACGACGTAGAGTGGCCACATTTAATATGACAAAGTTTTTTTATTCAAGAATTACTGATTTCCTCTAATACTACTTACACTGAAAACATGCTGTATCTTGTTATCGCTTCAATGCTGTGCTAAAGTTGGCCGCCTTTTTGTTCAGAACAAAATTCTAGGTCATACCGCCTTCGAGCCATCGTCTGTTGGTACCGCCTCCCGGCCAACCGGGGTTCAGAATGGATTCTCGCTTGGCTCCATCTCAGCGCCGTCCAGTGCCCAGGTCCGAGTCGCCCAGCTCGAGGCGGAAGTAGCCCGTCTGGAGGCTCGACTGCAGGAGGCCACTTCGGGCGGTCCCGACTTTCCTCCGCCGTTGTCAGGCCTCGATCTGCCCGGCCTCGGTCGAAGCGCCGCAGCACAGCCGGCCTGGTCGGACGAGACGAGGACCTCGTCTCTGGACCGACTGCGAGTGGAGCTGCAGTTCCAGCGCAATCTGGCGGACCGAGAGTCCTTTCGACGACAGGCCGACAACGAGGTGAGCCTCGCCGGGTCAAAGGTCAGCGCTGGTTGGCTGTCACGGCAAGCCAACCCTTTCGCGAGCGCCACAGCCCTCATGACGACCCTAACTCTAGCCTCGATCACTTGGAATTTTTCTAAATGCGAAGGAGTAGACCTCGAAATGCCACTTCATTTCGCATTGCCCCGATCTACCGAAACCTTCTCTCCGCCAAAAGGTATCAAATTGAGGTTCTGCGAATCTGGTGATGTCGTTGCTTGTGATGGCGAATACATGTTCGCCTGACTGCCGAGGTGGAAACTTTTCGCCACTTTACGAGCTCAATCCGAGTCCGATTCGTGTTGGGGAAAAGGGATGAGGCAATTGTTCTTTGAGAAGAACTTGAGCATATCCGATTG